AAAAATGTGGTCGAGTGACAGCTTCTGCTTATTATGTAGTCTGAGAACAAAATAATGCCTACTGCTGTAAATAATGAACATTCAATCAATTCTAAACTCTTCAAATTGATTTTACTACTCATTAGTTTGCTTTATTAGCACATTATGCTCAAAAAGTTCATATGTCATTCTAGAAAGAAACCTTCTAGAAAGGTACTTCAGAAAGGTACTGTGTAAGTTTTTGAATCTACTAAAGCATAAACATACCATAATATGTTTGCAGATATTTAAGAAACATGCTAAGTGAGCATTCATGTTTATCTGAAAAACAATGCTATGTTTATTCTTCTTTGAAAATGTGTATGTGTTTGTTTTGGTCCCTTTAACCTGCCCAATGAAAGTTTAGCCAATTGTATTTCAGCACCTCGGTTTGCCTTGGTGAAAAACAGTATATTTCATTCATTTAGTCAGGACCGAAATGCAACCTCCGGTGGACAGTAGCAGCTTCCGAAATAGACACAGATTCAGAGTTCACATAAGGTGATTATTAATTATCAAATAATATGGATATTTTGAACATAAACATTAGGTGAGGAGGTTACATTTTAACCCCGTGTCCTAACAACATGCTGCATAATACATTCAGAAGCACAGAATAGTGCACTTATTGCACATTGTAAGGTTTATAATCTAGTTAATACATATTAAACCTCTCTAAAATTAATACATGTACATGCTGATTCGCTGATACAGTATGTGTTGGTTTTGAGTCACAGTTTTAAAGCTCAATTTCAAATGGTTTATTTTATTTTCAAGATCAGAGGTGAACTATCTGCTGCTGCTTTCAGGCGTATAGCAATAAATGCCATGTAAAATGACATTCACACTCAAATTATTGGCGTTTAACACTGAATAAAACACATGAGGTGTACCTGAGGTGATCATTGACATGTTTATGTTCAGCTGCATAAAAAAATAGAAGCTGTTTCTAAAATATAAAATCCAGATGTTGGTAAGAACAAAATCTTATTTTAATATGGAAAGAATTCCTTCTATCCAGTGCCATTACTTTTATTTAGAACACGACTTAAATCAGCCTTTAGGGCCCTATCATACATCTGGTGCAATAAGGCACAAGACCTATTTGCTGTCACGCGTTGCTCTTTTCAGACCAGCGCAACAGTAATTTTGTTGTTTTGCGCCACGTTGTTTAAATAGCAAATCCATTTGCACCACTTTGTAGACTCATGGGTGTTTCGGTCTAAAAAAGAGGTGTGTTAAGGCGATTTGTTGGTGCATTGCTATTTAGAGGAACTGAGCAATAGACCAGCTGAAAGCAGGTCTGAAATCCAGTGCAGAGCGTGTTAGTTGTCACAGAGACAAACTCCCTCCTCTAACCAGCAGAGGGCACCATCACCTCATTATTAACTGACAGTTCCCTCACTACATTTCCCATCTACCCCGTGTCTGTTTGATTATGGGCCCAGCTGAAATTACTCCGCCATCTTTTTAAGCAGACTGGTTTGTTTCATTCTTTGCGAAGACTTGTTTGCTACTAGTTGACATTTCTGAGCGTTTATACACTACTTTTATTTTCCTGTTGTGACCTTGCCTGTTTACCGTCTACGATCCCTTGCTGCCAGCCCTGACCATTTGCCTGTTCATGACCACGATTCTGTTTCTCTGCCATTGTTTGATTACTGTTATTATAATAAACTGCACAATGGATCCCAATCTCTGTGACGAATCATTACATTAGTTGTGCGCCTTGCTTAAACATTGCTTAATACACACATGATGTACAGCAATACGTAAATATTTTTACAAATGAAAAAGAATTAAAGGAATAAAGTATTACAACAATTACATACAATAATTACATACTTACATACATATTTACTACATAAATATAAAAACCACTGCCTCTGTGCCTTTAACTCAGGGGGCTTTTTTCAGTTTATTCATGACAATTTGCTTTTGTATAATGTTTTTATTAGTAGTAGTTTTATTTATTATCTTCATATATATATATATTATTATTATTATTTATTTATTTTTTTTAATTAAAAACAAGCTTAGATTTGTCCATCTGTCAGGCTTTTAGATTGTATGGGGCATAGCATGTGTATTTGAATGTAAATTGTTGTTTGTCAGTTGTCAATATAAATTGTCAGTTGTTTGACCACACTTCGCTATTGTTTATTTATTTGTACAACGGGAAATTAGAACTAAATTTAGAAATAGTTTTGAAACAAATCTTTGCGCTTAACAAGCGAAATTAATTATGTAGGCTACTGGATGTCTTATTCAGTGGAGTGTATCCAGGAAAGAGAGAAAAGGAAAGAGAGAAAGTGAAAGTAAAGGGTTATTGGAAAAGGCTCTTTATCCTAACGCTGTAGATGCTCTGTTTAACTGTTTTCTGACTAGTGAAGCATTCAGTTTTTGCACTTACAAGTCTGCCATGTAAATAGCAAACAAGTGACTCTAAAGAGAATGTGAGATGAGACTCTGATTGGTTTATACTAAAACATACCCGTACCTCATTAAAATAATAAGCACAACCCTGTTAGACCATGCAGCGCAGAGTGTATTTTTTCGTCCTTAAAATAGCAAAAGTGGATTCGGACATGCCCTTAATGCTTTTGCATCATACGCTTTAGACTTTGCACCTAGATGGTTAAAATAGAGCCCTAGTTTTAGAATACCTAGTTCAATGACTGGGTGTCAATCTTACATACTGCACCTTAAAGTAAAGAAAGATATTTTAAAGTAAATTCACGTTCACTGTCAGTTCTTAAGTTTTAATAGTTCTAAACTTCACACTAGTAGAGGTCAATAATTGATTAGACATAAAAATATCAAACAATGGAATGATTTGTCCTACACAGGAAAAACAAAACAAGCATATTTAAAAGATGCACTTCTTCTGTACTCAAAGGGTCACTTTGATGCTGTTTATACATTTGTAATTTTGTAAAGTGTTTTTTCATGCATATTTGATTTGTTTGAATTTGTTCTAAAGTGTAATTCAGATTTAATGTTAAAAAAACACCACTACTTTGTGGTGACTGTGAATAAAAATGTAATTACTGTAAACCTGATTCATGTTTATATTCATTAAAATAAACAATTGAAGTCAGAATTATAAGCCCCCCTGTAAATTTTTCCCCCAATTTCTGTTTAACGGAGAAAAGATTTTTTCAGCACATTTCTAAACATAATAATTTTAGTAACTAATTTCTAATAAGTGGTTTATTTTATAATGACATTAAATAATATTTTACTTGATATTTTTCAAGACACTTCTTTAAAGAATAAAGTGACATTTAAAGGCTTAACTAGGTTAATTAGGTTAACTAGGCAGGTTAGGGTAATTAGGCAAGTTATTGTATAACAATGGTTTGTTCAAGGAAAAAGAAAAAAAAAACTCAAAAAGGGGCAAGCACAGTAGCACAGTAGGTCTGCAGCACAGAGAATACAACTGGCCTCTGCAGGAGCTGAGAGAGGATCACGATCACGTGAGCTCTACTGATGCTTGTTTTGGCTGTCATTCAAGAAAGTCACTTTTCATTTGCATAAAGTTGAAGGATTCTCAAATTTGTCACGGCCACATCCAGTTTCCACAGTCGAACTGAATAATCGCTGGTCGCTTTGGTGCTGTATGCCGCTTGTAGTGTGAATGGGGCATACGGGGTAATATCAATTTCATTCCTTTAAGTCAATGTTAGAAGAACTGAGCATGACAGTTCTTTTGTTGTTTAATTATATGAAATCTAAATCACATTGTGCTGAACAGAATAAAATCCAAGATGGATTTTATCAACAGCTGCTTCATAGGTATTTTTTATGTACCGTATCACTGGCTTTGCATCGATATACATATCGCATCTGGCTTAGTTCTGTGATTTATTCATTAATTTTCTTTTCGGCTTAGTCTCTTCATTAATCAAGGGTCGCCACAGCAGAATGAACCGCCAACTTATCCAGCATATGTTTTATGCAGCGGACGCCCTTCCAGCTGCAACCCATCCCTGAGAACCACCCACAAACTCTCATTCACACCCTACAGACAATTTAGCTTACCCAATTCAACTATAGCACATGTCTTTTGAACATGGAAACCCACGCCAACACAGAGAGAACATGCAAGCTCCACACAAAAATGCCAAGTGACCCAGCCAAGGCTCGAACCAGCAACTTTCTTGCTGTGAGTCGACATCACTATCCACTGTGCCACTGCGCCGCCTCAGTTCTGATATGCACATTCTTAAATAAAGACAAAATACATGTCAGTAGATTTTACAGGCAAGGCAAGTGGTTTGTTCGTAAGCTACAGTAGCTAACACTACAAGCAACACACATTGACAAAGTGAAGAGATTGTTCATTTAAACTGAGAGCAACCTCCAGCTACACAAGTGAGAGCAACTATTGGCGACCAAATGTGGGCATGTCGAGTGATGTGACAAAGTTTAAAGTCCTTCAACTTTATGCAAATGAAGAGTGCTTTCTCTTAGCTCCTGCAGCAGCTTAAATTACTTATAGAGTGTATTAGGCATGGGACAATAACCGATGTCAAGGTATACTGCGGTTTGGAATAGTCAAGGTTTTAAAACCGCCAAAATCTTCTGCTATACCGTTCCTAAGGTATGTGTAAGATTTTTTTATTTACGTTTTTTTTTTTTTTTTTTTTTAGGACAATAGTATCTTCAGCAGAAAAGATATCCGAAGACGCTGTTTTAAATTGCAAAGAAAACTATTTTAAACTAATAAAGACAGCAAAAGTTAACGATTCATTTGAATTGTTTAGCCTGACATGTTTACTGTTCCAAAACATTATAAATGTTTCTCAAAATAAAATATATTGTGTTCAAAAGGGAAAAAAGTTTTTAATTTTCACCTAGACATTTAAAAAGAATACATTTTAGAGCAGTAACCACAACACTGTGATATTTTTATCCAAGGTTATCATACTGTCAGAATCTTATATCGGCCCATGTTGTGTGTGTATGACTATGCTTACCTGAGAACCGCATGGAACCTCCTCTGGTGAAGTGAGGGGGAACCTGGAAGGCGTAGATGACATCACTCTCTGATATACTGGTCATGTCATCTTCATCAGAGAAAGAGCGCTGGAACCCACCCGAGTTCATCTCTGTCAAAATTACCTAAGAGAGAAAGAGAAACGATGATCTGAGAGTTAAACAGCCTTGCACACTATGCCGCAAATGATTCTAATAAATAACAACTTGCGTCCTTGTAAACAAAGACTTCAGGTTGCCTCCAGTGGTTTTCCAGAAGCTGTTGTCACATCACAGCTAACAGATAAAAGAATTTCAACTCAAATGCTCAGCACGACAAACTGCTTAGACTCAGCGGTAGGTCAGTTACTATTGCTTGTTTGCTTTTTTCTGTTTCACTCAAAGTCTAACAATCTTTCACACCTCTGTCTTGTTCTCCAACACACACACACACAGGCATGTGTAGGCATTAAATAGGGTAGAATAAATTACAAACTGTATACATTAAAAATAGTAGAACACATTATACCTCTCAATTGGGTTGAACACTGCACACTTTCTGTAGTATTTATTGAGGTAACAGTACAATTATTATGACTTTGCAATTCAAAATCAAGCCATACTCATTCTCACACATACGTCACAGTATCACCTTCCACCACAAGGGGGAGAAACCATCTACCGTAGAACATCAGTGTTACATGCTTAATAAAAACATTCAAGGTAATTTCTACATGTACCTGTGGATTATAAGTCCATATAATACGAGTGTTGCCTGCTGTGCTATGCTGATGTTTCTGCCCTCAAACATTTTTGGGGAGGTTTTGAAACGGACATAATTGTCTGGAAGCCACGCCACAGTAACTGACGCAGCTGTATGTTTAAAGATGAACATATAAGAGCTTACAAAATAAGGTCTACATTAAAACTAAATACTTATTGGTTACACTTTATATTGTTGATTACAAGATGCATTACAACTGGATGCCATCTGATTCATATAGAACTTTGGTATATTGTAAGTTTGGGATTAGGGTTACTGTAAACTGATTTGTACTTGTTTCTCATTGTCAGGTAAATGATCATTGGTGGAGCAGTGTCGATGGCTATTATTGCTAATAATCTAAATACTGCTAATAAAGATTTAGTTTCAATGAGTGTTAACCCTTTAACTGCCTGCTCTACCAAATAGTTGACCATATTTTCACTTTTAAAGAATGAGGTAACACTTTAGTTAAGGTCACAAGTCATGCTATTAACTAGTGGCTTATTACCTTCCTATTATTAGGATATTAACCGTTCAGTTATAAAGTATGATCTTATTCTACATCCCTAATCCTACCCAAAACCTAAACATAACTTTAACCTTACTAACTATTAATAAGCAGCTAATTAGTAGTTCATTAAGCTAGTAGTGTTATGGTTTGTAAAACCATGAATTGTGACCTAAACTAAAGTGTTACAGAGAATGACAGTTTAAAATAATGGTTTAAGCTACGCAGCATTGTTTATTTACAAAAAAAATCAAGCAGACATAATCCTGTTTCCCTATAATTGATTTTGGCTTTACTGTAATTTTTTTTTTTTAAATGAGAATCTAAAATAGTTTATGGCATTAAGAAATAAAGATGATTTAGTATTTAAAAATATTTTATTTAGATTTTTTTTTTACATCAATTGGTCTTACACTTCCTATTTTTAGATTTTCATAGTATATGTATTAATTATGGTAATTTTACCATAAACCGATTATATTATATATTTTAGAAATCATGGGATGTGTTGAAAAAAATGCTTTAACTAGTGTGTTTTAACTAGTGACATCAGCAATTAAGAAATTAAGTCCAATTTTTTTATTTTTTTATTTTCTTTGGATGGGGCAGCTAAAGGGTTAACAAAGTCAACAAAGTGATGCCCTCATTTTATTCATAATGTAATATCTGATCACAAATCACAAGGGGAATAGTTTTAGTAGTGAGGTGGATAAACAAAAACAACATGACTTTAAGATTTTTTAGAATTTTGGTATTGTGGATGTGGTATGATTGTTATTTTATTTGTTGAGTAATACACAAAAATAAAAAAAACATTAAAGGTGACCTATTATGCCCCTTTTTACAAGAAGTAAAAATAAGTCTCTGATGTCCCTATAGTGTATGTAAATATAAGCTCAAAATATCTCACACATATTACTTTCTAACTCTTTAAAACTGTCCCTTTTATCCTTTGATAGAAAATGAGTCTCCTGTAAGAGTAAAGGAGCAATTCGTTGAAACAATCAGTCATGTGTCTCATCCATTTAGATCGCAAAGTGCAGGATGCACAGATTAAAAAATGTGTCCAGTCATATCACTAAGCTATTTCTGAGATTTCTCTTGAATGAAAGAAAATATAATAAAATTGATAAAACTTTTTTTGTTTACACTGAGGTTAAAACAATTTTGTGCCTGTGTTTTTATGTATGTTTAAGCTTCAACTATGAAAACATCTCTGAATCAATGCACTCTGCAGTGCCTTTAAAATAAGAATAATAATGCAATAGTAGTAATAAAATATGAGCATTGACATTTTTGATGACCTGCCATTTAAAAATAGTAAAATCATTAATTGTGTACCAGAATGAACTTAGTTTGGTAACACTTTATTTTGATGGTCCATTTGAATATTAGTAGACGGTCTGCTTAACATCTGTCGATATGCTCCTTAAACAGTCATTTAACTGACTATAGGAAATTACATGTCATCTTACACTAACCCTAACCCTTAACCCAACCCTAACCCAACAGTCTACTTATAATCTAATGAGAATTAGTTGGCATGTAGATGCAATGTAACTTAAATTCAACAATCGGACCATCAAAATAAAGTATGACATTAAGTTTACATTAACCAGGAGAAAGAAGTGTTTAGGAAGATTAATGGACAATTTCATACCTTTTTAGTTTTACTCTTCATAAGCCTAATAAATATTTGCTAGGATAACTCTTCCTACATACTACATAAGTTTCTGCATGTCTGAAGTACAATACAGCATTTTATTAGGAACAAATGGCTCAAGTGTGTATTGCACACAGTGTAGTTCAGGAATACAAAAACACAAGAGGAGGGAGAGTCAAAACATCAGCAGATATGACAGACAGTGTCCTCACCTGGTCTGGAGAGAGCTTGCCCTCCTCTGCTACCATGGCCCTGAGTGTTGAAATAGACCCAAAGAGAGGCACAGCCAGCCCTATTCTCAGAAACCGCTGACCTTCTGTGCTGAACACCAGAGTCACATTCAGGGCCCTAAACAACATGCATATTTAGTAAAAAAATTTTTAAGTCATGAGGCCAGTTTATAGTTCTATTTAGTTGTTACACTAATTTAAGATTTCAGAATGCATACATCTGCAGAAATTTGTTTGAGTATTGGTGTTTCAGTTTGCTATGCAAGTGTACAAAGACAGAGGTGTTTAAACCATGTGGAACTGCTTTATGTGATACATTACTCAGGAAAATACTGTGCATCAATACACTGGAATGTTGCGCCCAGGGTCTAAAATGAACACTCATCAAGTGAGCAAATTGTCAGATAATCTTTTTATTTAATGAGTAAGAAGCAAATGAAAAGTTAATGATATTTTTTTTTTATTGTCTCCAAGCAGTTCTGTCAACAGTAGATGCTGCACCACACTATACCATCACAGTTTACAAAAAAATAAATAAAAATAAATAAAAATAAAAATGTGTCCCCTGCTGTACAGAGGTACTGTTTCAATCATTATTTCTGTGTACTGTTTACAAATCGTTACATACAGTTGAAGTCAGAAATATTAGCCCCCCCTTTGATTTTTTTTTTCTTTTTTAAAATATTTTCCAAATGATGTTAGGCAAAGCAAGGACATTTGCACAGTCTGATAATATTTTTTTTTCTTCTGGAGAAAGTCTTACTTGTTTTATTTTGGCTGGAATAAAAGCAGTTTTGAATTGTTTAAAACCATTTTAAGGAGAATTATTAGCCGCTTTAAGCATTTTTTTTCAATAATCCACAGAACAAACCATCATTATACAATAACTCGCCTAATTACCATAGCCTGCATAGTTAACCTAATTAACCTAGTTAATTAAGCTGTATAGAAGTGTGATAAAAAATAACTAGTCAAATAATATTTACTGTCATCATGGCAAAGATAAAATAAATCAGTTATTAGAAATGAGTTAAATAAAACTATTATGCTTAGAAATTTGTTGAAGAAGTCTTCTCTCCATTAAACAGAAATTGGGGAAAAAATAAACAGGGTTGCAAATAATTTAGGGGGGCTAATCTAATCTAACTCTGACTTCAACTGTGTATATATATATATATATATATATATATATATATATATATATATATATACAGTATGTGTGTGTGTGTGTGTGTGTGTGTGTGTGTGTGCGTGCGTGCGTGCGTGCGTGCGTGCGTGCGTGCGTGCGTGTGTGTGTGTGTGTGTGTGTGTGTGTGCACATAGTACACCCTCAACAAATAGATTTGCTTCTAATCATCCAAATCCCAGCGTCAGCGCATTCAGAAATAACAGTTTGTTGACAAAAGCCATTAAATGCCACTTGCCTTTGACAGCAAAACCGCTAACTAATCAGATGGCGCGAATGGAATCATATGTGTTCAATGTAGCAGCAAGCCTATACGCCGGCTTTTTTTTTTAGGAGATTTTTATTCCGCTTTCGATTTCGATTTTAAAAGATGGAGTTTGATGAACTGGATGAGCCTGACTGACTGTCAGTGAAAGGCAAATGAAAATGTCCCTTACCTCAAAACTCATTATAAGAAAAAGAAAATACAACGTACTGTCAGAAGTGCAGCATGCATTTATAATGATTTTTTTTTTCGCAGCAACGCTACTTTAAATCAGTCCGATTTACTATACATTAAACGGCAACTGCGTTTCACAAAAGACAGAGTTAAGATGTCGTTTTTATAAACGAGATAAACAAGAGACCAATAACTTAAAAAATGAATGACAGCATCTGAAATTTTCTGAGAGGCATCCTCTTTTTGCCCAGTAGGCTCACCTTGTGTTACATTTACATTTGCTAATGTAAGCTAATTTTTTGAAGATTAATATAATGTATAAAAATATACATTATTTATATTACTTCATATTACCTATACGTCTGATAAGCTTTTTATATCAATGGACAATGCACAGATATTGATGTTTCATAACTACAATACTCATGTTTTACACTACATTATTTGAATTTACCAAGCTTAGTTTACAATGTTTACATTGCTCTACTTACATTAAATCTAAATCTTATCAGAAATGACAACAGATTATTAAGATTTTATTAATTTCAGTTTTAATGTTATTGTTTATTGCATTTACTTGACAGATTTCATTAATTCATTTTCCTTCTGCTTTTCCTCTGGTTTATCAGGGGTTACGACAGCGAAATGAACTATATATATATATAATTGCATCCTAAGTGATTTTCAACTCTTTACACTGTCTTGTCTCAATAGGTGGATTTAAAGTTTTTTGCAAAACTGCTCTTAGAAAATCTTCCTTCTTACATACAGAAGAATTGTCAAAAATGACATTTTTGAAAAAAAAAAGGTACTTTATTTACCAGCTAATAAACCCATCATTACCTATAAAATGAAACTTCTGAACCTAATTAGAGGAGCCTGGTAGAAAATGCTCACTTACAAAAAAATAGAGGTTTGATGGATTTAGAGGGTTTTTGCATCTGAACTCTATGTAAGATTTACAATTTAATTAGAAGAGATTTCTATTCATCCTCATGTCATTCCAAATAACTATGAATTCCCTTTTGCACGACATAACATAAGAATCATTCGTTTGTTTGATTTTTTTATGTGCCACAGAAGGAAGAAAGTATTACAGATTTGACACTGCTTGTAGTTTTACCTTTGTTCTTTTGGTCTTTTTTAACTCAAAAGGTTCCAAAACTTTATGAGTTTCTTTTTCTCTTGAACACAAAACAAGATAGTTTTAATGCTGAATGACTGAATGACTTTTACAGGGAAGTCAATGTCTAGCAGTTTTCAATATTGCTCAAAGATTATTCTATTGTGTTCAACAGAAAAAAAAAACTCAAACATGTTTGGAACAGGAGTGTGATGTTTTTAAGCAAACTATTGAACCATGGTTAAAGGGACTGTAACAATCATTTGTGTCTTATTGCTTTACATTTTCAAAACTGCCCCTAAAACAGTGTGAGAGAGTGAATAACAAGTCAATTTGGCTACAGTAAGTGTACATATATCTGTGTGTTTGTACTCGTGTTGTGAAAGTTAATGTAAAGGTCTAAAACTCCTCCATATATACGAGAGTGCATATTACAGTCAAGAGCTGATCTGCTTTCCGCTGTATTTGTTTGGCTGAAAGCAGCCCCAATATGAGCCAGTTGCACAGCAGCTGCTGGTCTCAGTTCAGCTGTGTTTTTCAGCACAGATGCGGACATTATGGCTCTAAAGACTTAGGTGGACTTTTAGATGCTTCTCTCTGCTGCATTATTGAAAGCCGTATGTGAAATACTGAACCCAACAAAAGCACTCAGTTACACAAAACCACACTCTCACTCAAGTGGACCAGTGAGAAGATAACTGAAGCCTTAGATTTTATCTCTGGTGGCACGCACAGGCCAGGGCTTTATATATGTTGTCTGACTATCAAACTAAGATTATTCTCTATCAAGAAGTGTTTAAGTAAATGTGTTACTTTCTGCAAAGACAAAGAAATTCTAACACCACCTCAAACAAAACTATTGTGGTCTCATTAAATGTACAAGATATTGCTTTCTAATCAGTGGTTTTGAAAGGAAAAGGAAATGAAAATTAAGAGGAAATGGAAAAGGACATGGAAAGGAAAGGAAATGAAATGAAAGGAAGCTATCCTGTAATCAAACAAACCAGATTGTCACTATCTGTTGTTTAAAGACAGTTGAATTAAAGTAATCCAGAAATGTACAGGGTCTAAAATTAATTTAAATTAAAATGAGATTGTGAATAAAAAAAGCTGTGATTCTTTAATTTGTGTAACTGAGTGCCTTTGTTGGGTTTATCATGTCACATGTGGCTTTCAGTTAGAAGAACAAAATATTAGGAAGTTGTAAAAAAGGACAACTTTAAAAAGATTGTGTATGTTTGTATGTGATGTGAAATTATGGAACAGTCTAGAGCATATTCTCAAACAATGCAAGGATATTAATCAATTTAAATAGTTGTAAAATATATATTATTAAAGGAATGTAATGATGAAAGTTATTGAAAAAGGATAAAATGAGAAAGATATGATGAAATTTCAGTTAATGGCTATTTGCATTATTATGTATGTTTTTGGGTCTACGTTATAAAACGTAAATGTACAAATGGAATTAAATATTTAATATGTCAAAGATGCCAAAAGGATAAAATATGTCTCATGTAAAAAGAGAAGAAATACATTAAGTACTGTAATAGGCGAAATATGCATGTGGTAATGGGGTGGGAAAATAATATAATAATAACTGTGTTTCATCCTTGTGTGTTTCATTCATTTTCGACCATGTTGAAATGTAATTTTTGTTAAAGATATTTTATGTATGATATTTTTGTTCAAAACAAATAAAACCAAATCAAATTAAATTAAATCAATTATGCAGCAGAGAGACTGATCTAAACGTCCATCTGATTTATACTTCTGCGTCGAGTGATTGGCGTGACCCACGGCGTCTTCCTTGCACATTGTCGTGCATTTATACTTCTGCTCTGCAATAACACTTCACTAGCTGGCAGAAGGTGTTTATTTTAATCTGCGTCGAGTTTCTTCGTTGGTGTTTTGTTTTTTCTAAACACTACTTTAATGTACAAGTAGCTAAAACTCATTCATTCAGAGGCGGGACTAGCAGTAACCGGTGGAGGTGCAACAACATTAATCTTAAGGTAAACACAAAATAAATGTTTCCATCTAGAGCTCCTTCACGGGACTCGACACTTGTAAACACTTGCTCCAACACTCACTCCAACAGGCGTGTGGCTCTCAGCACCGCCCACGCTTGTCACAGCTACCTAAGCCGATCAATCACAGAGCTTGTGCAATTTTTTGAGAGGTGCACATCAGTGTCGGCTTCAGCCATGGCGAGGGCTATGTGACCACATGCAGGGTGCGGGTTGTTACTAGATCAAATATGCTTGCGGCCAGAAGTTAATGAATATGATTTATATTATTTCTTAGGGCTCCCATTAATTGTATTGTATTAACGTCTACCCCCATCCCAAATCTAAACCTAACCGTCACAGTAACGTAAAAACATTAGTTGTAGCAAGTAGTATTTATGTCATCTTTTAAATTACCCGGCAGCACGGTGGTGCAGTGGTCAGCACAATCACATTACAGCAAGAAAGTCTCTGGTTAAAGGCCAGGCCTGGTCAGTTGGCATTTCAGTGTGGAGTTTGCATGTTCTCCCTGTGTTGGCGTGGGCTTCCTCCGGGTGCTCCGGTTTCCAAAAAAGTCCAAAGACATGCGCTATAGGAGAATTTGGTAAGCTAAATTGTTCATAGTGTATGTGTGGGAAATTGTGTGTATGCATGTCTCCCAATGATAGGTTGCAGCTGGAAAGGCATCCGCTGCGTAGAACATATGCTGGATAAGTTGGCGGTTCATTCCGCAGTGGTGATCCTAGATTGATTTTTTACCATCTACCCCAACCCTAAACCCAACCGTCAAAGTACTGTAAAAATATAAATTATTGTTATACAGTTCAGCGTCAGAACATGCACATGTGCTTGATGCAGAAGTATAAATCAGAAGTTTAAGTCATTTGAGCCATAATGTCCACATCTGCAGTGAAAATAAATAAATAAATAAAACAATTCCAGCGAACTTTAGCAAATATAATTTGCAAAAATGGTCAAACTGTTAACCTGTCAAGATTTTACAAATTAAATTGTGAAGTATATTTGTAAAATACAATTGTACTGTAAGCATACATCACAACAGTATTGCTTGAACAAAATATTTCCAAAAAAAAGTATTGAAAAAATATACAGATTACAGTTATGTACAGATATACAGTATTGTGTATAAAACATGATAATCATATCTTTTAAGTATATAATATGTACGCACGTAATCACACATTATTTATCACTGAAAGAAAAGGATCTGGTAATTCTTTGTATTTGATCTTTCTATTGGGAGAGAATGCTCAGATGGCACTGCTCTAAACAGCAACAGTAACATATTATAAATATTAACAATGAACATCATAGGTTTTAACTCTCACAGACATTTATTGATGACTTCCCAATTCACCCCCTAAGCTTTTAAGGCTTCTTGATATTCCCTTTCCACTCTGATGAATTGGAAATTTGGAGAATAATGATTCAGAGACGAGCATGCTGGGCAATCTCAGTGTTTTGAAAAGTATTACTGGTATGAGTCTTCATGATGTGCCATTGTTCTCTCCATAAATTTCCCATATTCTATTATTGCTCTGTCTGACAGGTTGACAGTCTCACAGGGGAGATTTTGCTGACTGCTGGTTTTTGAGATTTAAGGAAATTGAAGAATGTTCTGTTTACTAGGTCATTCGTCATATTTTGGTATTTTGCAATGGTATGTGACATCGATTAATAAAAACTCAGAAGACACAGTAACATACCTGGTCTGTCGCAGCGGGATTGGAAGGGAAATACACAGGAAAGGGTCAAAAGTGTTGCTCTGTTTAAGGCAATGCGGGCATGTCAAGGATGACCTGAAACACAAAAATGACCACATTTCATTATATTCTTTTGAAAGCACACACAGACACACCATACAATAAAATTCATCAACATTTCAAAAGCTGTTATTTAAAAATGGCTGTGGTTTTGGTCATACATCTTTAGTAGGTTTTTAAATGCTCATATGCTCTAATTTTCATTCACAACTTGACTTTTGTCATTCTGTGGAACATTAGGTCAATTCAGCTGGTCCAAACTACATCCTTAAGTTTGCCAAACATATCTTAAGTATGCAAGAACTGTATTTGCAAGATTGTTTTCCACATGTTTATGCAGCTACAAAGAACTGTGTAATACATTACAAACTGAAGATATTATATTTAATTCAAATATATTGAGCTTCCACTACCTAAATATATTTTTATTTATTAAAATTTTATTATTTTTTATCCACAAAGGCTCATGTTTGGTGATCCATTAAGTTTGAATCCCAACAAGATTTGTGACCAATAGAAAAATCAATGCCACAGTCTGGGGGAGAGCGGGGCACAAAGTAACACTGTTTGGTTTTGGCCAAATAAAGAACAAAGTAATGGGGTTTAATAAACCATATTTTTTTTACCAACAACACACAAGCCTCTCCTACAAATGAGCACTGAAAGTATGACTGCCAGGCCTATGGTTTCGGTGCAGTATTCTCAAAAATGTCAGGAGTAAAAATGTTACTATATAACCCATCTGCGGGGCAAGTTGTAACAGACAGGGTTACCTGTAACACATGCTTAAAAAGGCAGATTCCATTCAATTAATTTAAATTCAGTTCACTTTAAATTGTTTATTTCCTCAGTACTCAATTTGTTCATTCTACATAGCACAGTATGTTTATTTATTTTCTGGATAAACAAATTTGGATTTAAAACGTTCCCAACATTACACTCAAAATTCAAAAATTATTTTGTTCATTTGCGTTCAATTGCTTTCTCGGTTGGTTTGTGTTCACACTGACTTTTTTCCTTCTGAACCCCGATACGCTTACGTCATCGAGCTGCTGTTGTGGGTACAGCAGTTGCTAGGTGACGGACACAAAAGCAAAGTGCTAAAATGGAAAGACGTATGCACATCGTGGTCGTTCTGCTTTTACTGAATCTTTTGGTTTTGGACATACAGAAAGAGACTCGCGTCTATCTGCCGCAAAAAAAATTAAAAATTCTAAACGTTCAAAACATATGTCTGCAGAAGTCATTTTTGCAAGCAGACATTATAACTATGATTGCCCTGGCTAGTTTTCATGAGCCATATGGAAATGATTTCATATTGTATAGTTGGTGGTTCACTTCCTTTATTTGACACGATAGCACTCATACTAAAAGTGAACCGGACCAGAGTTTGCGTGAACCGTACCCCAGACCATCTCTTTTAAGCGAACTCGCTACAGTTTAGGGATGTGCACCAGAGATCAAAAGACATGCTTACACAAGCTAAACGTACCGTACTCTGACGTCAAACGATCATGGGTGCGGACTAAAAATGCTAGTGTAAAAGCACCCTAACACGTTGCATTTTACCCTGCGTTATTTTGTGCCTCACACTCCCCATGTTCTAAATTATAGGAACAAACATTAAATCTTAAGACGTGAACTGCAGGAAACTGATCTTCATTTTACAAGACACGGCAGATTGTGACATTATGTTGTAACCACTGCAGTGTCTCAAGTAAATTGCTCAAAGGCTAGAGTGAATTTTGCTAAACATGTGAAATAATTGCTTACTTGTCTTGCATAATCTTCCCGAAATGCAAAACAACACAAATAAACAGTTTCCTCTTGAAGAGAAAGATTGTTTTTTGGAAGCACAGTTTGACATCATGCCCACACATTGGGGACTGTGTGAGTGTGTCCTTCTCAGAGCCCGATATAGAGCTTCCCTTCATGATTCAACAGCTGAACACTGGAAATGCATTTGTGTTCTGCAGGTGCAACGTGTTCACCTGCAGAGAAAACGACAGCCTACAAAACCAGCAGAGATGAGCATGCATTGACATATTCACCGAGACAGGAAGCTCCTGGAATGCACTGATTTCAATATCCCAGCAGGAACACACACAAAAAAAGTAGACTGAGAACGATGAAAAATGAACGCGGAAGCAGAGGGGATGATGGGAATGAGAAATAAAGATGGAAGAGACATCTGTAAGTGCGGTAAATGAAAAAGAAAGCGAGGGAACAGCAGATGCAGAATGTGGCTGAGATTGCATCATGTTGGGGTTCCAATTGTCAGGCATGAACTCGACACAGCTGTCTTATGAAGCGGCGGAGACCCCTTAAAATAGAAGCACTACACTTACCACAGCCATATTTTGCACCATACACAAACAGATAATGTGTAAAAGAGTTTACTAGAGTGTAAGGGGAATTAGTGTGTTGACTGTAAATAAATAATGAACTGTGAGAATAACTGCATATGAGCATCATATCAGCACTGATAATATTGCTCATTAACTGTGACGACTGAGTCAGTTTAACACTGATTCAGTTCAGAGCTAATGTGAGGAGAGTTTCCTCATCTAAAAAATGACTGAATCTGTTGTTTGTGCAAAAAGCTTATTATGATCTATAGTTACATTTAAAGTTTAGTGCCCTCTAGTGGATACACAGTTGAAATTATGGCTGCCATAAGCGTATGCAATCATAGACTGTATAAGATATAGATGTAGTATCCGTGACATCACCCATAGGTTTCTGAAGCTGGCAAATGAAGCTACAAGTAGGCGTGGCCAACCGGCGCCATTTTGGCACCTACCAAGGGATAAGTTCCTGGAGCCAGCCCCCAAAGGCGAATCGATGAATTGCAGTTTCAGCTACTTCCGTATTGGCTTCATGAGGGAGAGTGAGAGGTTGCTGCTTGTACACAATGTAGTGTGTAGATTTATAGACAGTCCCGTACCCAAGTTTGACTAGTTTTTGAAAACGATTCACAGTTCATTAAAGATTTTTTTTATCAATACACATGTTCTCAGGGACTGAACCCATGATTCAAACACCAAGTGAGTTTAGCCAGTGGAGTAAAGTAATGAATTACATAAAATAATAAAATTCATATTATAAAATTCAGTAGTATTTAGAACAGACACTTTATCTACTTGCATTACATTTCTTGGCAATTAATTGTTTTACTGGAGTATGATTTTCAAGTATTCTTTACACCACCAATTTTAACATTTAGACACATTTTCACTACTTAAGTAAAATTATTATAGGGTCATATTTTAGAATAGAGACAAATTAAAGGGACATGTTATGTTAAAGTAGAGACAACAAGATTCAGCTGTAATAAGAAGATTATTCTGTATTATACATAAGTTAATGTTGGATTTGTTTCACCTAACACGGCACTGCACTAATTTTCTTTTTTGCTATTCGCATCTATGTAATAATAATGAAGATAATAGTAACAATAATAATTATAATAATAATCACAACAACAACAACAACAACAACAATTATAGTTCATTCCATTTATACAGTACTTTACGGTACTTTAATGGTACAGTACCATTACAGATTTGCAAGGGAGTGGGAATCTCCTCAATCACCACCAGTGTGCAGCATCACACTTCTTTGACACAATGTCTCAAGTATACATAGATGTAGCACTATGGATGTGTATTGACTGGTTTTACTGATTATAAATGACATGATGAAAATCATAGTTGGTAATAGAATGCAAGCCCTGTTAGGTAATGTATTATATAAGTGGGGATTAATAGAAACAATAAATCTAATAAATCAGTGTTTTACATTTTCTATAAATTGCAAATATTAATGTTTTGGAATGTGATTTTAAAATCTAGATATGATGTAATCAGCTGCTAAAGGCATAATTAAAAACACTGATTTGTAATACAATTAAAGTCAAAATTATTAGCCCCCCTAAATTATTATTTTTTTTAAAATATAAAATAATTATTTATTTTTTCCCTAATTTCTGTTTGATGAAGAGAAGATTCTTTCAACACATTTCTAAACATAATAGTTTTAATAACTCATTTCTAATAACTGATTTATTTTATCTTTGCCATGATGACAGTAAACAACATTTGACTAGATATTTTTCAAGACACTTCTATACAGCTTAAAGTGACATTTAAAGGCTTTAAAGGTTAATTAGGTTTACTAGGCAGGTTATGGTAATTAGGCAAGTTATTGTATAATGATGGTTTGTTATGTAGAATATCAAGAAAAAAAAAAAAAAAAAAAAATATATATATATATATATATATATATATATATATATATATAGCTTAAAGGGGCTATTAATTTTGACCTTAAAAAGGGGTTTGAAAAAATAAAAATAAAAACTAGCCAAAACTTTTATTCTAGCCAAAATAAAACAAATAAGACTTACTCCAGAAAAAAAAAAATTATCAGACATACTGTGTCCTTGCTCTGTTAAACATCATTTGGGAAATATTTAAAAAGAAAAAAGTAATTCAAAGGGTAGCTAATAATTTTTCAACTGTATACCCCAACATATTTATTTCTATAAATAAATATATCTGGGTTTTAAACATGGGTTTAAATAACTCAAATAATACTTATTTGACCAAGGTTAATAGTTAACATTTTCTGAAGGTTAGAAACTTTATTGTTAAGAAAGACAGCGGTCCTAACTTTGAGCCCTGCAGGTTCACACCATAAGTCAAACCATAAGGTCACTTTCCCAAATGCCATTTTAAATCAGAGTGCCACTTGAAAGCATGTCCACTGAGAAAAATGACTTTGTCAGATGGGCATGTCAGAAGAGCATGACTGGTTTGTTGGTTTAAGGTGAAGTCAAACTACTGTATTCCCCAAAGCATTGTTATGAAATATTAAGTCAATGAATGTTGTTTTTTTTTTTTTCATGAGATACAATTACAATAAAAGTGTACAAAAAAAAAGTCAAACCTCTTTGCTCTATGGCAGAGCTTTGATCTAAATGCATGTTTGATCTACATGGTGCAATCCCTTCTTGTTAAAGATTCTTTTTGGCA